GGAAGCGTCCGCGCCCCCCCGCGCCGAGCTGCCGTTGCCCTCCACACGCTCGCACCGTGTTTCTTGCGAGCCAGGAGGCGGCAGCCCCGTCGTGCCCTTTCCCCTTCCCCGGGAGCACTGCACCGAGGCGGGTGGGCCCGTGGGGAAACTGAGGCTTGGGTTAGCAACCAGAGTCCGGGACCCTCGTTTTGCCAGACTCGTCTGCAGACCCCTCTGGGGTCTGCTCCCTCTTCAGCCCGTCCTCGGTGGGGGCAGATCTGGGCACTGTGAACGAGCCGGAAGCTCCGTCCCGGGGGACCCCGGGGAAGTAGGCCGGGCAGGGGGCAAGGCCCCAAGGGGGCAGGGCTTCGGATGCCAGGGGCTGATGCCACCGGGAGGGGCAGATGGGGCCCAGCCTGAGGCTTCCTGGACCACCCCGCCCTGCCCGGCCCCGGCCACAGTCCAGGGTTTGCTGGCCTTCGAACCGCACTTGTGATCAGTATTGACGGTGGCGGGGTAATCATTAACCGCCGCCAGGGCTGGGCCAACGGCTCAAAAGGCACCGGGCGCAGGGCGTCCCGCTTCCTCCTCGTGCCCCGAGGGCCAGCCCGGCACGCAGGTAAGCGGCTTCCCCTGGCAGTAGGGCCCCTGCAGCCTCCTCTGCCCCCAGGAGTCTCCGGAATCCGGGCGCCTTCTGCAGGGTGGCAAGCCCCTTCCCGCTCTGTGCCTCAGTTTCCACCTGTGGGATGGGGGAGCAGGAGCATCGCCTCTCTGATGCCAGGAGCCAGGATTCCTGATGGGCACGGCCTGTGCCAGGCAGGGACACTTGCACTCCACACCACAGAGGCTGGTCTCACCCCAGCCTCTTTGGAAGGGATTGCCAGGCATTTGGGGGTGCAAGTTGGCCATCGCCTGTGGCACCTTTCTCTGAAGGCCTATCCCCCGGCAGAAGGACTCCTGCCCGGGGCCCCCACCCCACCTCAACTGCATCTCAAGAGGGAGGACGCCACTCCAGGGAGGCTCCAGGGCAGCCCAACCCTGGGGCCCTGCTCTGTGACCTCGGGCAGCCCCCTCTCCCTCTCTGGGCCTCTTCCACGGCTGGCAAAGGCGGGCATGGGCCAGATGGACTCTAAGAGCATCCTTCTCTCTCCAGAAGCTTCAGAGTCCCCCGAAACGGGTCTCTGCAGGACTGGCACTGGAAGCCTGCCTGGGAGGGAGGGCACGCTGTGCAGGAGAAAGGTCTGCCCCGGAGCCCTGGGCCAGCTCAGGGATCCGGTCAGCAGCTCTGTCCTCTCCCCACGGTGGAGACAGGCCCAAGGGTCCAAGGGCGGGCGGCTCCCCACCAGTCTGGGCTGGCGTGCAGGGTGGCCTTGCATGTCCTGATTGGCATATGAGGAACCAGCCGTGGTTCAGAGAGGTTAAGCTACTTGCTCGAGGGCACCCAGCGTCCCGGCCCCTGCTGGCTCCCCGGAGGCTGGGGTACCAAGTTCTTCCAACAGTGGCTGCTTAGTCCCCGTTCTTTGGATTCTGCGGCTGGTTTGTCAGCATCGCTCCCAGGTCCCTGCTGTCCCCTTTCTCATCCACCTGGCCACCTTGCTGGTTCTCTGCCTGTTCCTCTCCTCCCAGCCTCCCCTCCGACCCCTGCCCGTCTCCGTCTCCCCTGCTGGGGCCATCCGCGTGAGACTGGGCACGGGGAGCCCTGGAGACTGACAGACGCCCAGCTGTTCCTTGCTGGGGCCCTGCCCCGTGGCTGCAGCAGGGAGGGGGGCAAAGGGCAAAGGGCGGAGGCCACAGTGGCCAGACCCGAATCAGAGGCCTAGCTCTGGCCAGAAAAGAAACCAGGAAACAGAAGGACGTGGGGACAGGGCGTGGGGGTGTCAGCGGGCAAAGGCTGCCCGGAGTCGTAAATCGGAGCCGCTCCTGGCTTTATGGGGCAGGTTTGGGGTTGAGCCTGGACTTCGCCCAGGAAGGGCGCCAGGTGTGGGCCCGTGTGATAAGGGGCCTCAATAAAAGGGCCCTGCGGACCTGAGGCCACGGTGAGCGGGCGTGGGGCCCCCAGGACCCTGCCCAGGGGAGAGGCCGGGCGGGCAGCGGGCCCGGCCCAGGCCTCCCGTGGGCTGCCGCCCCCTGTAACAGCAACTCCATGTGGAAGTGCTCGCTGGTTCCAGTGGGGTTGCTGTTATCGGGTGCGGGGGCCAGCACCCGCGACGGAGGACAGGCGGCCGCCACCCCTGGCCGGTGGGGACCCCGTGGCCACGCCCCTGGCCCAGGACGGCGAAGGGGGCCGTGGGCGGCCGGCGGGCTGCGAGACCGAGTGCACAGGGCTCTGACCTATGAATTGACAGCCAGTGCTCTCGGCTGCCCTCTGGCTGCCAATTCCATAGGTCACAGGTATGTTCGCCTCAATGCCAGCCGCCAGGACCCGCGGGGCTGGGGGGCGCGGGGGTGTCCAGCAGCCCACGAAGACCTTGCTGGACCCGAGGGGCGCTCAAGGCCCCACTCTCGCTTCTGCCCTCCCTTGCATTTCCCCTTTGTGAGCCTGAACTTTTTTTTGAGTCTCACTGTGTCGCCCAGGATGGAGGGCAGGGGCACGCTCACGGCCACCGCAGCCTCGACCCGCTGGGCTCTGGTGATCCTTCTGCCTCAGCCTTCCAAGTAGCCAGAACTACAGCACGCGCCACCACACCCGGCTAATTTTTGTTTTTTTTTAATTTAATTGTATTATTATTATTTTTTGAGCTGGAGTCTCACTTCCAGGCTGGAGGGCAGTGGCACACTGCTCATGGCCACCACAGCCTCGACCTGCTGGGCTCCGGCGATCCTTCCGCCTCAGTCTTCGAAGTAGCTGGAACCACAGGCGCTTGCCACCACACCCGACTAATTTTTTGATTTATTGTGGAGACGAGGTCTTGCCAAGTTGCCCAGGCGGGTCGTGAACCCCTGAGCTCAGGCAACCCTCTCGCTTTGGCCTCCTAAAGCGTGGGGATTAGAGGCTTGAGCCACTGTGCCTAGTCTTCAGTGGGGTAATCTTGAGAAATGTTCATTTCTTTCTTTCTTTTTCTTTTTGAGTCAGGGTCTCACTCTTTTGCCCAGGCTGGAGGGCAGTGGCACACTCACGGCCAGCCCAGCGTCCACCTGCTGGGCTCCGGCGATCCTGCCACCTCAGCCTTCCAAGGAGCCGGATCTACAGGCACGTGCCACCGTGCCTGGCTAATTTTTGATTTATTGTAGAGACAAGGTCTCACCAAGTTGCCCAGGCTGGCCTCGAACCTGCGGGCTCAGGCAATCCTCTTGCCTTAGCTTCCCAAAGCACTGGGATGACAGGCTGAGCCACCGAGTCCAGCCCTAAAGTTTTTATTGTAGAGAAAAGGGCTGGCCAAGTTGCCCAGGCTGGTCTTGAACTCCTGGGTTCAGACAATCCTCCCACCTCGGCCTCCCAAAGTGCTGGGATTACAGGCGTGAGTCACACCCCCCCCCCCGGAGAAATTTTCATTTTGATGAAAAGGTTTCTGCTGCTAAGAAATAAAATTTTGAAAATCAGAAACACAGAGCCAAGAATAAAGTCCAAATTGCTTAATAGCAGGTATTGGCTATTAACGAACCCTTTCTTCGTGCTGGGCCCTCGGCATACATCACCGGGGTCCTCTTGGCAACATTGCAAGGGAACCGTCATGACCCTGTTTGGGAGGCAAGGATATGGGCTCAGAGAGGGTGCGTGTTTGCTAAAGGTCACACAGCATCTTGGACCTTCTCCCTCTGTGGACCCTATACAGCCGACAAGCATCCGGCTCCTAAGACATTGTCGCTCACCTCTTCCCACTGGCGGCCTCGCTCACACCGTCCTGTCTGATCCGGGTCCCTGGGCCCCCACCTGCCCCTGCTGTGGCCCAGTTCGGACGCCCCTCCCTCGGGCCCTCCTGTGATCCCACAGGACCGCTCCCCGCTGTGCCAGCACCCGGTTTCACGGGCCTCTCCCACCACCCTTATCTCATTCTGTGCAGAGTGGAAGAGCTCGGGTGCTTATCTTTTTTTTTTTTTTTTTTTTTTTT